AATGGTCATTAAAAATTAAAAAAGGGCAAACTTAAAAATGGACTCTCAAAGGAGACATTTTTGAAAAGGGGTATTGAAAAAGGGGCATTTTTAACGATTTCTCTAATTTTAATTGTTAATAACATTATATTATTTCAACTTTGGACCGACCAAGATGGGTTCAGTTTTCATTTTTATGTGCTTACGAATTACGATCATCAATAATTTTATGGCAGACATAAAGTGTAGTTGGTACTCAGTCATAAGATGGAGAAGCCGAGAAGGGTTGAAAAAGAATAGGAATATTCATGTATCACAATGAAACAGAAGCCTGGATTTTCTTCTTTTATATATATATATATATATACAAGGTATATAAATATGATTCTCTCTATAATATCAACTTAAAAATTTATTTATATAAATAATATCAACTCCGAATAATAGATTTGGCAAGTACTTGATCTGTTCTACCCCGAATAATCAAATCCGACTAAGAACAAATCTAAAATATGATTCTCTCTTCTTCTTTTTTTATCACTCACCCATAAAGATCAAGAGAATTAAAACAACACTCATTTTCTAAGTTCTTTTTGTGGCTTCGAAGTTTACAACCATATGACAATATCTAGAATGCGTAAACGGCTCATGGCCAACCTCTAGAATATTATACTATACTCGAGAACCCTAAACCTTGGATCTCCAAGAAACAATGCTTGGGATCTTCTTTGTTTTTCAATTTTATCCATTTTCCTTATTTGGTAAGAAAAATATTTATAAATCTTCTCAACAAATTTAGTCTTTGATCCCCATGCCAAGTCAGCAAAGATTCTTGGCTCGTCACATCAAGTGCTCCAACTCTGCCATGTCACCTCCCGTCTTTATGTCAACAACTCAGCCGTCTAATGTGATTTGATGCAGCTTCTTATTCCAATCTGATATATATGTTTTCTAACTTTTCAAGTTAAGACTATTTATGTAACCATGTTCTAGTCAAGTACTGGTAACACAACACGATTTGACTGGTATTAGCGCCTTTTAGTTTATAATTATTTCTAAACTAAAAAGAGACGAATGATTACTATTTTTCAGTGTCTTATAAACAACATATTATAATTTTAGGTGAATCCGTTTTATTTAAGCCATGTGGATCGTTTTGCGGAAAAGTGTATTTTCATACCTGTACAAACTGAAAAGTGTATTTTCCTACATGAACAAACATGTATGGTTAATTTATACCCAAATCCCCAAAGAATTTGAATTTCATACCTAAACTTTACATTTAGTGCCTAATTCGAAATCATAATTAACAGATGATAGTCAGCTGTTACGGTTGCTGAATCAGATGACACGTATTTGATGACGTGACTTAAAACGATGTTATTTTAAGCGTTGGAGTTGAAGTTTTATCAAAATTTAGCAATAATCAGATCTCGAACCCACGACGTTTCACGATAGTTGTTGATCAAATGGTAATGGACTGCGTAAATGAGTGAAACGTCGTGGGTTCGAGACCTGATTTTTGAAATTTTTTTAAAGACTTTAATTCTAACGCTTAAAACGATATCGTTTTAAACCATAAAATCAAACACGTGTCAATTGACTCAGCAACCGTAATGGTTGACTAACACCCATTAATTCCGATTCTAAATTAGATACTAAATATAAAGTTCGGATATAAAATTTAAATTTTTTTAGAGTTTGATATAAATTAACTCTACATATTGTTTAATGTAAGAAATCACACTTTACAGTATAAAATACATTTTCCAATCATTTTGCACTACAAGCCTAAAATTTAGTTTCAGTCTTACCGTGTGGCCCAAATTCCAAATGAATTGGGCTTTGTGATTACGGAGAGAGACGAACGGAAGAAATTCTACCAACACTAGGACC